TTCTTCCTAACCATGAACATGGAATGTTCCTCCATCTGTTTGTGTTCTCTCTTATTTCATTGAGCAGTGGTTTGTAGTTTTCCTTGAAGAGGTCCCTTACATTCCTTGTAAGTTGTATTCCTAGGTATTTTATTCTCTTTGTAGCAATTGTGAATGGCAATTCATTCTTGATTTGGCTCTCTTTAAGTCTGTTATTGGTGTATAGGAATGCTTGTGATTTTTGCACATTGATTTTGTATCCTGAGACTTTGCTGAAGTTGCTTATCAGTTTCAGGAAATTTTGGGCTGAGGCGATGGGGTCTTCTAGATATGCAATTATGTCATCTGCAAATAGAGACAATTTGGCTTCCACCTTTCCTATTTGAATACCCTTTATTTCTTTTTCTTGCCTGATTGCTCTGGCTAGAACTTCCGGTACTATATTGACTAGGAGTGGTGAGAGAGGGTATCCTTGTCTAGTGCCAGATTTCAAAGGGAATGCTTCCAGTTTTTGCCCATTCAGTATGATATTGGCTGTTGGTTTTTGCTTTCCATTTTCTTGGTAAATCTTCCTCCATCCCCCGTGTACACAGGGCTGCTTTCCACCCCTCCAGTCCTTCTGTCTATAGCTCACATTCTAGCATCAACTAGATTCAACCATATACTGTCTTGTGGACTCTATTGTCTTTACCACATTGAGCTGTGTCCCTCTTCCTCTGAATCTCACTGAGTGCCCAGCAATGCACTGGACTGGATGTGTGAGGTTTAGAGCTAGTGAAATCATTTTTATGGAAAATTGTAGCTTTCCCCCATCTTCCACCTTGTCCTCCAACTCCACCCTATCATGTTGTATTAGCTTTGTATTGGGATTTGATTTCTTAAATTCTCATGGTAATATTCAAAACTCTTCCACAGTTTGGGGGTATTCTTTAGGCAGTGGTGGTGGAGCACACCCAAGATCTCCTTTGTTGTTTTCTTACCTACCTATCCTGCCTTTTTACCCATTTTTTCCCACCCCAGTCTGTGAATTCAGTCGGTCAGGGCTGCCTCTTATTCTTGAATGTTCCAACCTCCAAGGCTTTGTCCCCATAGTGTCCCCTCTCTGGACTGACACAGTGCCTCTTCTGTGTCAAGCACTTAATAAATGGCTGTTGTATAAGTTACTAAATAGTGAATGAATAAATGAATGAATGAATAAACACCTTCCACTTCAGCTAGTTAAGTCCTGCCCTGCCTCTGAAGCTGAGCTCTTTTCCCATGTCTTTGTCAAGTCTTTCTCCCATCACTCCAGCCCATATGTGTTAAGTGTTCTTCATTTGGAACACTTAGCACGCATGCAATCCACAGTGCTGATTGATCACTCAACATGCACCATCTTGTATGTTTAAGGTGTTTTGTGCACGTCCTGCTCTATGAAGGAAGGATATATGTTATCTGATGACTTTGTAGACAGAGAGTTCCAGGTTCAAGTCCCAATGCCATCACTTGCCAACTGAGTGAACTTGAAGAGGTTGCTTAATCTCTCTGAGGCTCAGTTTCTTTAACTGTTAAAAAGGGACACTGCCTACCTCATCACTTGCTGTGAAGGCTAAGTGGCTTTTGTTTTTGAGAGTCAATGAGTCAAGTTACAAAATAATGTGGAGAGTATCATCCCATTTTCATAAAAAGAAGCATTTATTTTTTCAGACTTACATACCTAGAGATGTGTTTGTGTGTGTGTGTATATAAAGTCTGAAACAACACATACTAAACCATCAACACTTATAGTCAATTCCAGCCTTTCTCTTCTAGATAGTAGTTATTTGTGTGTATGCCTAATTTTTCTTCCCTCCAAAATTATAAGAATATGAAAGGCAGAAACTGACTTTGTCAGTCAGAATGGGTTAATTATGCAGTGGTAACCATCTCAAAATCTGAGATGTCTGTCAAAACAAAAGGACTCTTTCTCACTTTCAGTGCATGTCCACTGTGAGCCAGCCAACAGATTCCAAACACCACAATCATGAAGGGATGCAAGCTGCCGGACCCCACACAATCTAAAACATTGCAAGGTAGCATGCTGCAGAGAAAGGAGAGAAGGATAAAGCATTTGTTCTCAGCTTTTCACCAAAGCAAGTCACAGGGCCAATGGCCATGCTGAACTTTGAGTGGGCAGAGACATACGGTCTTCTCATGTGTCTGGAAGGAGTGAAACCCCAGATATCTGTGAAGTACTTAGCACTGACTTGACTTTGTTTCTCTGCACACAAGATGATGCTGTGCATGTAGTGGCCACTCAGGTAATATAGATGATGTAGTAAGGCAATGCAATAAAACCCAGGTGCTACTTGAGGCTCTGAGAAAATTATAAAAATAACTAAGACTTAAGTTCAATAAGAAGTGAGTGAGAGAAATATGTGCATTTTCAAGCATTCACAGTAGTAGACTGGCACAAATGCTATAGTATTATAAAATAACACCCAATGCAAGTATGTTATTTTTCTATTGCTTCTGTAACAAATCACCATACATTTAGTGGTTTAAAATAACACAAATGTATTATTTTATAGTGTTGTAGGTTAGAATTATAACACAGGTCTCAACAAACGAAAACCCAAGTGTTGACATGCTGCATTGCTTTCTGGAGGCTCTAGAATCCTCTCACTAGATTTTTAGCAGAATTCAGTTCCTTGTAGTTATGCGACTGAGGTCCCATTTTTTTTTTCATTTGTTTGGTTGGATTTAGCTTAGAACTGTTGCTAGTTTCTGGAGGCCACCACATTCCTTTACTCATGACCCCTTCCTCCATCTTCAAAGCCAGCAATGGCAAGTCAAGTCCTTCTCATGTCACATGTCTCTGACCCCTTCTTCTTCCCTTCTTCTTCCTTCTCTTCTTCTTCTCCTGCTCCTCGTCCTCCTTCTCTTCTTCTTGTTCTTCTTCTTCTCTTTCACTTTTGAAGACTCAGTGATTAAGTTGGGACCACCTGGATAACCCAGGATAATCTCCCCATCTCTAGGGCCTTAATCTTAACAATATCTGCAGAGTCCCTTTCACCATGTAAGGTAACATATTCATAAGTTCCAGGGATTAGGGCATGGATATCTTTGGGGGAAGAACATCATTATACTGGCTGCCACTGTTTTAAAATATATATATACATGTACATATATATGTTATATATACATACAAACTATATATACATGTATATATTATATATACATATATTAAATTTACATATTTATTTGTAATTCATTGAGATGAGCCAAGGAAGAAAAGAGTAATTCCAAATGGGACCAAGGAAGACTTCAGCTGGCCTTGACCGATCAGGAAACTCCAACAGGCAGAGATGGATTAGGCTGTTGAGGGGACTCCAGGCTGAGGGCTGAGCATGCATAAAGAGAATGGGAAGTCCCTGCCAGGTGCGCCCACAGTGGGGGAGTGCAGCCCTGGGACATGACACAGGACAGGAAGCAGAGGCAGGTTTGACTGGGCAAGTTTGGTGAGGCAGCATGTCGCTGAAGAGAGGAAGGAGCATGGGGACTGTGGAGTCAGACCTGGGTCCGAGTCTCAGCTCTGCCACTTGGCTGTGTGACCATGGGCTTACTTTACTTAACATCTGTAAATCTCAGTTGCCTCCACTGTGAAGTGAAGCTGCTAACAATAGCACCTGTCTCTTAGGGTTGTTGGAAGACTTGACTGAGACCATTTAAAGTGCTTAAAATTTAATAAAGGTTGCCATTACTGGTATTACCAGTCAAGTCCTTCTTGTACATGGCTGGGTCACCTGCCCTGAGGGGACAGAGTCTGAAAGAACCAAACAGGTGGGCTGTGGGGGAGTTCTGCCCACCTCCTCTCCTTACCTCCCATGCCAACCTCATGGATTTTTTGAAGTTGCTCCCACAGTCATAGACCTTTATAATACCATGCAGGTAGAACCTAGTCTACAAAAGCTCTCCCTCCATCCATTGGCAATTTCCCCTGGAATGGTTCTTAACCATGGATGACAAAGGGACAGTACCAAAATCAGTCCTCAAACAAAATTACGTTCCCATGTCCTGAAAGAGGGCTTGGGTGCCTCTCCTTTCCCCAGATGCTTTTGCCAATGCATTCTTCTTTATGACCCAAGGCAGTGAGCTTGCTATGCCTGGGTCTTCACTTCAGTCTACAAATTTTGGGCCCTAAATACAGAAACAGACGTTGCACATAATTGAATTGAGGTCAAGTGTTCAGAACTCATCTTCAGAGAATTGCAGGAAGGGCACAAATGTGTGTGTGTGTGTGTGTGTGTCGTGTGTGTGTGTAAACAAAGCAAAAGCAAATATTCTTTGCAGAATTATTGACTTTGATACAATTTGTAATTCTAAGCTGAAAAGCATATGAAATAGAAAAAACACATGTGTCATATTTAACCAGCAAGTATCAATTTTCTCTGAAGGGCTGCAGACCTAGTATAATCCCTGCTAAGTGAACAGAACAGGTCTTGGAGCTTCAACTGCTTCAAACAAGGCAGGTGGCAGGCAACCACACCCTCCACCTTCACCGTAGATTTTTTCATATTACATACAGACTACTAAACTTTGGGGAGGGGGAAAGTTTGTATACAGACCCACCTCCTAAATAAAAGTGCAATTAATATTTTATAATGTCTTTTTTATTTTATCTCTACACAAATATGTTTCAATCTAATCCAAATAGAATTACTTTGCACATACTATGTTGAGAAAATGAAAATTTATTGAGCACCTGTTATGTCACCTCCCTGCACACCAGTTTCTTGCTCTGTATTTCACATGGTATTTATAAACCAGTAATAGAAATGTAAGCTAGCAGAAGGTTATTCAATACATGTTAACAATTATCATTTTCATAAACAAGAATCACAATTATTTTTACCTTGCTTAATCATCACAGAAACTCTGCCAAATTACAACAGACTGAGGCTCAGAGAATTGTCATGTGTGATCCATATAACTTTTAAGGGGTGAATTCAGGACATGGAAAGATGAACAAAAAGAGAAAGCCCATTTTCCATAGATGTTACCTTGAGAATCTTCATGTCCTTCAACTCCAGTTACTGAGAAAGTCCAGGATAAGATAGTTTGCTACAGAACTGTCTCAGGGCATCAGCTAAAATGATTTGTAGCCAATTGGTTTTATCCTTAAGATGAAGTGCTTCAGACCTCCCCTTTGGAGAAGAAGCTGCAGGAAAACCATATTCAAGACGGTTTTCCAAGATCCTGGGCTCCCCCAGCCTGCCTGGCCCTCTTGATTTCCAATCCCAATCAATTCCTTTTTAATAATCATAGTTCAAGCACTAATAAGAAGTCATCCAGAGTACTGCTAAACCTTGTAAAGGTTTTGGGATTAGCCATTGCATCCCTGTGCCTCCTTAACCTCTCATGAGAACACGTAACTGAGAACTTAACGCTCAACTGTCATCTTCTATCTGCACTTTATTGGTCTTTATTCATTCGGGTCCTCAGGCCTCCAAGCTACTGTAGCTTGGGCAGGATTCATCTCTCAGGTGGTCACCTTTGCTGCCCTGCCTCACGTGAGGCACACACAGACACATGCACATGTGTACACGCACACACACAGTACACACACACTCACACATATACATACATTCATTGAACTTTCGTGATTCATAAGTTTGAGCATCCCAAAACCTGGCACCCTATGCAGGGCAAAGGTTGGCTTGGTACACAGTTTGGTTGTCTAAGAGAATGTGGATTCAGGTGGAATAAGTTAAGAGAGAACCAACTTGCAGCTCTTTATTAATGTGTTGCACCTGCATCCAAGTGGCCAGCTCATATCCACTCCCTAGAGAGGGAACTAATGACCAAGCCGGAGCACGACAAGCTCTGTTTGGGGACAGAGCCAGCAAGACACTCGAGCTACATGGCCAGGGTGGTGTGACGAACTTCTCCCTGAAAAGCGCCATTGCTAAAATAGCTTGTCTAGTGATAGTGACAAATGCCTGGAATTCTACCATTAGAAATTCATCCCCATGGATTAAAGTTTTGGAGCTTGTATTAGATTCCTCTTGTTATTTAACATGGCCCTTAGAGATCCAGGACACGTAAGTTTGGATGAGAGGCTTAATCAGAGGAAGGTGGAATGCCAAGCAAGGCAGTATGAGAGCACTTGGCCCTGGGAAGGAAGGGGCAGAGGACATGTCTGACTTTATATGTTGATTACCACTGGCCGGTGGGGTGACTGGGCTGCAGCTACTGCTGGGTGACCTTAGGCAGATCTCTGGCCTGTCTCAGTGACTTACCACACCCTGAAATTAATCAAGGTGACCTACATCTCCAGGCAGCTGGTGAAGGATTAATTAATGACTGCAAGGGAGCCTGAAAACACCAGATCCATTGACATGCGAGGCATGATTATTAAGTCATTAGGAGGACTGGTTAATTATCATTTCTAAAGTTGCTTGAGTTTGTCATTGATGGCTCTTATTATTTTGAGGTATGTTTCTTCAATGCTTAGTCTGTTGGGGGTTTTTATCGTGGAGGAATGTTGGATTTTATCAAAAGCTTTTTCTGCCTCTATTGGGATGACAAATGGTTTTTGCTTTTGATTCTGTTTATGTGGTGAATCACATTTGTTGATTTGTGTATGTTGAACCAGTCTTGCATCCCAGGAATGAAGCCTACTTGATTGTGGTATATTCATTTTGATGTGCCACAGATTCAATTTTCTAGTATTTTGTTGAGGATTTTTGCATCTATGTTCATCAGGGATATTGATCTGAAGTTTTCCTTTTTTGTTGTGTCTCTGGCAGCTTTTGGTATCAGGCTGACACTGGTCTCATAGAAAAAGTTAAGGCAGAATCCCTCCTTGATTTATGGAATCGTTTCAGTAGGATTAGTATCAGTTCTTCTTTGTATTTCTGGTAGAATTTGGCTATGAATCCATCTGATCTAGAGCTTTGTTTTGGTTGGTAGGTTCTTTATTACTGGTTAAATTTTGGATCTTGTCTTTGGTCTTTTCAAGGTTTCAATCTCTTCCTGATTCAATCTTGGAAGATTGTGTGCTTCCAGAATGTATCTATTTCTTCTAGATACCCTAATTTGTGTGCACAGGTTGTTCCTAATAGTGTCTGAGGATCTTTTTCATTTCTGTGGGATCAGTTGTAATACCACCTTTGTTGTTTCTGATTGTGCTTACTTGGATCTCTTCTCTTTCTTTTTCTTTGATAGCTAGGAGCCATCTATGATAAACTCACAGCCAACATCATACTGACTGGCAAAAGCTTGAATCATTCCCCTTGAGAACTGGAACAAGACAAGGACACCCACTCTCACCACTCCTATTCAACATAGTACCAGAAGTCCTAGCCAGAGCAATCACACAAGAGAAAGAAGCAAAAGGCATCCAAATAGGAAACCAAGAAGCCAAACAATCTCCCTTTACTGACAATTATGAGTCTATGTCTAGAAAAATCCTAAAGACTCTGCCAAAAGATTCCTAGAATTGATAAACCACTTTAATACAGTTTCAAGATACAAAATCAGTGTACAAAAATCAGTAGCATTTCTATACACCAACAGCATCCAGGGTGCACGTGAAATAAAAAACACAATGCCACTCACAATAGCCACAAAGAAAAGAAAATATCTGGGAATACAGCTGACCAAGTAGGTGAAACATCTGTACAAAGAGAACTACAAAACACTGCCGAAAGAAGTCAGAAATGACGCAAATGAATGGAAAAACATTCCATGCTCATGGATAGAAAGAATTAATATCGTTTAAAATGTCCATCCTGCACAAAGCAATTTAAAGCTATTACTATCAAACTACCAACGTCATTCTTCATAGGATTCGAAAAACTATTCTAAAATTAATATGGGACTGAAAACAGCTCAAGTGGCCAAAGCAATGCTAAGCAAAAGAAACAGTCTCACAGTACCCGACTTCAAACTATGCTATAAAGCCACAGTAACCAAAACGGCTTTGTACTGGTACAAAACACATAGGTCAATGGAACAGAATAGAAAACTCAGAAATAAAGCTGCACATCTACAACTATCTGATCTTTGACAAGGTCAACAAAAACAATGGAGAAAGGATCCACAATTCAATAAATGGTGCTGGGATAACTGACTAGCCATACACGGAAGATTAAAGTTGGACTCCCACCTTTCACCATATACAAAAACTAATTCAAAATAGATAAAAACTTTTAACATAAGACCTCAAGCTATGAAAATCCTGGAAGACAACCTACTAAATACTCTTCTCAACATCAACTTTGGCAAATAAATTTTGGTTAAGTCGCCAAAAGCAATTGTAACAAAAAGAAAAATAGACAAATGGGGCCTAATTAAAGTAAAGAGCTTCTGCACAGCAAAAGAAGCTATCAGCAGAGCAAACAGATAATCCCTACAGAATGGGAGAAGATATTCACAAACTGCATCCAATAAAGGCCTAATATCCACAATCTGTAAGGAACTTAAGCGAATCAGCAAGCATAAACCAAATAACCTCATTAAAAAATGGGCAAAGAACATGAACAGACACCTCTCAAAAGACACACAAGTGACAAAAAAAAAAAAAAGAAAAAATTTTCATTATCACTAATGATCAGAGAAATGCAATTTAAAACCACAAGGAGATACTACCTCACACCAGTCAGAATGGTGGTTATTAAAAAGTCAAAAAATAGCAGATGCTGGTGAGGCTGCAAAGAAAGGAAAACACTCACTTTTGGTGGGAATGTAAATTAGTTCAGCCACTGAAAAAAGCAGTCTGGCGATTTCTCAAATAACTTAAAACTGAGCTACCAGTCAACCTAGCAATCCCATTATTGGATATATATCAAAAAGAAAGTAAATCATTCTCCCAAAGACACATTCATTCATATGTTCATCTCTGCATTATTCACAATAGCAAAGACATGGAATCAACCCTAGTGCCCACCAATATTTGACTGGATAAAGAAAATGTGGTGTATATAAACCATGGCATACTATGCAGCTATAAAGAATGAAATCATGCTCTTTGCAACTACATGGATGGAGCTGGAGGCCATAATCAAGCAAACTGATGCAGAAACAGAAAACCAAATACCACATATTCTCACTTATATGTGGGAGCTACACGTTGATCACACATGGACATAAATATGGAAACAATAGGCACTGTGATTATGACAGAGTAGAGGGAGAGTAAAAAAAAAAAAGACTATCAGGTGCTGTGCTCACTACCTGGGTGACAGGATCTGCACTCCAAACTTCAGCATTATGCAATATTCCCATTTAGCACATCTGCATATATACACTTTGTATCTAAAATAAAAGTTGAAAAAATAAAAATACATAGCTACTGATGGACAGGGATAACTACCTGTTGCTCTAGATGGGGAAAACATGGAGAATGGTGAAAAAGGATAGGGAAGATAGAAGGCACACAGGTCTACCCCTCACCGTTTGCTTTCAGCCTTGTTGGGAAGCTGGATTTTCCTGCATCCAGAGTAACCAACATGGTTGCTACTATGGGTGCTAGTGTCATGTACTGGAATGTACATGGAGCAGCAATCTATAATGGTTTTCTTCTAGGCTGCTAGCTGGCACTACCTGCCAATTTGACCACCTAAGAAATGGGAACACCAAACACTGCAGAGAAGAACTGGTCTGTGATGACTCCACACCTGCCATATTTTCTTGGGTGGTCCAGGTGATAGGTGTGACCAAATGTTCTAGAGACTAGTTAGAGAGGAGAAACACAAGAAAGGGGTGGCTAAACTCAGCCACTAGATAGGTGTGTGATCTTGTGTGTGATAGTTTCTTAACCTCCTAAACCTCAATTTCTTCATCTACAAAACTGGGCGTCACAAACCCTGTCTCAGGTTTTTCCTCCCAGCACTGACACAGCAGAGTTCTTTGTGCAGCATAAAATGCTATTTGAATATTATTTCCATTGTTCCAGATGCCTCTGGTGTGTCATTTAGGGAAGCCTTGTTTGACCCAATGGGTCTTACCCAACAGTCTGCCACAAACCTATGATTTTGAGCATTTGGCAGCATTTTCATTAGATAATTTTCCCTCTTAGAGGTTCATCTTTAAAATCCCTACATAATAACCAACATAATAACAAGATAAAGATGACCAAGTTTCACCTTTAAAGTGCCTACATAAGAGCCAACATAACACGATAGACAAGTATGAACTGGTTCATCAGATCAGCCA